TATATTCTAGAGCTCTCAAAATTGATCCACAGACTTTACACCAAAACTAAGATCCAAAGAGATAGTCCATACGCAGAACACATTCTTTGCTTATTAGGACCTAGTTGTGACCCCTGAGCATCAACAGGTGTAGCCCCAGAAACTATAAAGAATATCAATCAAATCTGTAGACTAAACCAAATAAAAATCTTGGAAAACTTTTACACTGGAAACTACCCAAAACACCGTTGGAATAAAGAAAAGACCATAAATGTAAAGCTAGCCCATAATCATAGGCTGAAAGAGTGTGTGCTAAAATGTCCTTATTATCCAAAGTGATCCACAGATTCAGTGTAATCTCTATCAAAATTCCAATGGCACTGTTTGCAGAAACAAATATTTAGGAATATGGCTCAGTAACAGGGTGCCTGCCTTCCATGTATGAAGCACTAGATTTGATCCCCAGGACAGAGAAAGAAAAGAAATAGAAAAATCTGTCTTAAAACTCATGGCATCTCAAAAGAGCCCAAACAGATAAAAACAATCCTGAGAAAGTTCAAATCTGAAAGTTTCACACTTCTTGACTTCAAAACATATTACAATGCTACAATAATCAAGTATTTTGTGTCAGTGATAGTACAGCAAGTATGTTTCTTGCCTTGCATGCAGTTAGCCTGGGTTTGATCCCCAAAACCCCGTATGGTCCCCTGAGCCCTGCTGGGAATGATCCCTGAATATAGGAGCCAGAAGTAACCTGATCACCACTGGATGCAGCCCCAAATATAACAAAACAGTACTGTTATAAACAAAAATATATACCAAAGAAATAAATTTCACACCTCAGAAATAAACTCTTGGTCAAATGATGTTCAACAAGGATGACAAAACTACACAACACAGAAAGACCACTGAATAATCTCTTTAACAAATGGTGCTGGAAAAAAAAGGTATCTATGTACAAAGAAATAAAGCTGAATTGTTACCTCAACCACCTACAAAAATAAGTCTAAATGGATTAAAGACCTAAGTGTAAGACCCAAAAGTAAGAAACTACAAAAAAACAACATAGGAGAAACATGACATCACTAAATTTGGCAGTATTTCTCAGCTACAACAAAAAAGGAAAGGTAGCAATAGCTTAAAGAGACATATACGGCTATATCAAACTTAAAGTTTTTTGCACAGGTGCAGGAGAGAGAGTGTGGGGATTAAGGCGCTTGCCTTGCACACAGCTGATCCAGTTAAATCCTGGCACAGTACCTGATCCTCTGAGCAGCATCAGGAGTTATCCCTCAGCACTGCTGGGTATTGTCCAAATCAAACAAAACATCAATTTCTTGCAAGGTAAGTGTTTAATATCAAGAAAACATAAAACATTCCTCTAAGACTCAACAACAAAAATAACTTGATTTTGGAGCTGGAGCAATAGCACAGCGGGTAGGACATTTGCCTTGCACACGACTGACGTGGGTTCAATTCCCAGCATCCCATATGGTCCCCTGAGCACTGCCAGGAGTGATTCCTGAGTGCAGAGCCAGGAGTAACCCCTGAGCATCACCGGGTGTGACCCAAAAAGAAAAAAAACACTTGATTTTAAAAAGTCAAACTGGGAGATTTGGTGGAGGGAAGATAGTGGAAAATGGGATATTGGTGCTGGGAAATTACACTGGTGGAGGGATGGGTGTTGGAACATTGTATGGCTGAAACCCAACATGAACAGCTTTGAAATGCTCTATCTTGCAGTGATTCAATTAAAAAAAATTTTTAAAAAGTCAAGCTGAAGTGATTGGTTTTGAAACATTATATGCCTGAAACCCAATCATGAATCACTTTGTAACTTCATAATGATTAAATAAAAAAATAAAATAGTCAAAGAATTTGAATAAACATTTTTCCCAAAGATAATACAAGTGGCCAAGAACCATGAAAAGATAGCATTATCTTTCATCAGTAGGAAAATGCAAATCAAAGTCACAATGAGATGTTACCTCATACCAATTAGGCTAGCCATGATCAAAGAAAAAATAAATAACTTCCTACTGAACCTATTCTACTTCTGAGTGCATAAAAGTTTTGAAATCATAATCTCAAATGTAACTTCACACACATTTACTGCGGCATTATTGAAAAGAGTTATAAAAGCAACAAGCAACACCAGTATCAAATAATAAAAAGAAAAGCAAAATGTGATATACATCTACAACAGAATATCTAGTCTTACAGAAGTGCATCTTCTACAATATGAATGAACGTGTTGGGAGGGAGGTACAATTGGAAGTGCTCAGTTACTCAGTCACACACACACACACGCGCACCACAAATATGTTCAATGGATAAAGAAATTTTATTTTGCTTAATTAAAATAAGCTGGGGGCTGGAGCAATAGCACTGTGGTAGGGTGTTTGCCTTGCGCGCAGCCAGCTGGTGAAGCTGGGTTTGATTCCTCCGTCCTTCTCAGAGAGCCCAGCAAGCTACCGAGAGTATCTCGCCCGCACGGCAAAGCCTGGCAAAGCCTGGCAAGCTACCCGTGACATATTCGATATGCCAAACACAGTAACAACAATTCTCAAGATGGAGACGTTACTGGGCCTGCTCAAGCAAATTCACGAACAACAAAAGGACAGTGACAGTGAATGAAAAGTTCTAGTTCAAGATGACTGGTTAAAGAAACTTTGGTACATCTACACAATGGAGTACTATGTAGCTCTTAGAAAAGATGAAGTCATGAAATTTACATACAAGTGGTACAATATGGAAAGTATCATGCTAAGCGAAATGAGTCAGAAAGAGAGGGATAGACATAGAAAGATTGCATTCATCTGGGGGATATAAAGTAACAAAGTATGAGATTAATACCCAAGAATAGCTGAGATCAGCACCAGGAGGATTACTCCATAACTTAGAGGCCAGCCGGGTATCCTAGAGGAAAGGGCTATTCAGATAGAGAAGGGAGCACCAAATAAAGGATGTTTGGAGGATCCTCCCAGGAGGGGAGATGCATGTCGAAAGTAGACTATGGACTGAACATGTTTGCCACTCAATGCCTCTTTTGCAGACCACAACACCCAAAAGGAGAGAGAGAACACAGGGGATTGCCCTGCCACAGAGACGGGGGGATGGGGGGATGGGGGTGGGAGGGATATTATCCATGGTGGTGGAAAATGGGCACTGGTGGAGGGATGGGTATCTGATCATTGTATAATTGAAACCAAAGCACAAAAAATTGTAAATCTACAACTTTAAAAAAAATAAAATAAAATAAAGGGAAAAAAAATTAAAAAAAAAAAATCTATGAAGATTTAAACTACCAGATTTCAGGTATTACTACATAACTCTGGGCTCTCTCTCTAGTCCTTATACTATAGATATTAACTCCTTATCAGATTTGATTTGTGGGTATCTTCTATTTAGTACATTGACTTTGCTTAGTATTAATGGTTTTAGCTCAGTGTTTGAATATGTTTTGCATGTATGCAACCCTGGTCTCAAACTCCAGAATCCACTCCCCAAATCAAGCAAGCTCAGATAGGGATAAAAGATTATGTATGCCTACCAAGACTTTTATCTAGAATTTTAAACATTTGTGATCCAATAAATAAAACCTGCACTGTAGCACTGTAGCACTGTCCTCCCATTGTTCATCGATTTGCTCTAGCAGGCACCAGCAACATCTCCATTGTGAGACTTGTTACTGTTTTTGGCATATTGAATACTCCCACGGGGAGCTTACCAGGACTCTGCTGTGTGGGCAGAATACTCTCGGTAGCTGTGGGGCTCTCTGAGAGGGATGGAGGAATCGAACTTGGGTTAGCCATGTGCAAGGCAAACGCCCTACCCACTGTGCTATCACTTTGCTGTGTAGTCGAGATACTCTCGGTAGCTTGCCGGGCTCTCTGAGAGGGGCGGAGGAATCGAACTCGGGTCAGTCATGTTGGCCGCTTGCAAGGCAAACGCCCTACCCGCTGTGCTATCACTCCAGCCCTTTTAATATATTTATATTTTTATATTAAATATATTTTTCCTTTATCGTCAGGTAGGAAAATAAAACATAAGCATTGTTATAAACACAAAGATAAGTATCAGTAAAATGAATTGAGACTCCAGAAATTAACATCAAGTGATATTCAACAAGAATGCCAAAACTACACAACAGTGAAAGGCCACTGAATACTCTCTTTAAACAACTGGTGCTAAAAAAATACCAAATATCCACATATAAAAGAATAAGACCAGACTGTTAGTTTAACCACCTCCAAAAAAAAAATCAAAATAGGCTGAAGACCTAAATATAGACCCAAAACATAGACACTTCAAAGAGACAACATAGGGGAAACATGAAGTCACTGATTTTAATGACTTTTTTGGTAGACTCTAGTAAAGTCTACCAAAATATTTAACTGAATTTTAAACATCTCTTTTCAATAATAACACATAAAAGAAATAAGAATTACGGGACCAGAGCAATAGTACAGTGGGTAAGGCCTCTCACCTGGCCAACCTGGGTTTGATCCCCAGCATCCCATCTGGTTCCCAGAGCCCGCCAGCTGCAATTCTAGAGTGCAAAACTAGGAGAAACCCTGAGTATCACCAATTGTGGCCCCAAAACAAAAACAAAACACACACAAAAAAGAATTAAAATGAGGGGAATTATACTATAAAGCTTTAATAATCAGAACAACATTGTAAAAATAGATGAAATTAATGGAATAAAACAAAGAAACTAGAAATGAACCTACTATATATGATCATTTTATGTCAAATGAGTCAAAAATATACAGGTGGGATAGTAGAGTTTCTTCCACATATGATGCTGGGAAAACTGGAAGATTAATTGATTCCAAAGAGAGATACCTGAATGTACAGCCAGGAATAAGCCCTAAGTACAACAACAAACAAATCCACACACACAAAATCTACTTATGAGGAATAAAATGGGAATTTCTTTCACATTTAAATGAACTGTGAACTGTATACCTTTATTCATTTTACATACATCCTGAATCTCACAATGATATACATACCTGCTGCAATGACAGGATCTTTCATAAGCTCCCTAGTTATTGGACATATAAATTCATCAGGAATTTCAGAAGAAAGGGATTTCATCTTTGACCTGAGTTCTTCAATTTTCCTCATAAGTTTACTGCGCAGCCCTAGAGATTCTGAAAAAAATATATATTTTTTAGGGCTAGAAAACTATGGTTAGCTCTATGAAAGTCTTTAGTAAAAAGAGATTTCATACATTACAATCTAATTATCTTCTGACATATTGTTATTACATGAAACTGTTTTTCATGTAAATTCTTTAATTTTTTAACAAGGTATTTATTTTACTTTTTTTGCTTTATGGGTCACACCTGGTGCTGCACAAGAGTTACTCCTGGCTTTGTACTCAGGCTACTCCTGGCAGTGCTTGGGGGACCATATGGGATGCTGGGGATCGAACCCAGGTCAACCACGTGCAAGGCAAACTCCTACCCGCTGTACTATCACTCCAGCCCCAATTCTTTAATCCTTGTAGCATAAAATTCTGAATGTTATTCAAGTTCCTCAAGAACTTCAGATTGATAACCACTAATATGTCAGAGAAAATTAAAAAGGCTCTTTAGACAAAAAATTCTAGAATTTGTAAGATCTTCCCTTTATATTGTAACTCTTCCATCTAACATTTTAAAATTTCATGAAACTGAGTATTTTATGGATCTCATAAAAGACAGTGGTGCTAGAGCAATAGTACAGTGGGTAAGGGATTTGCTTTGCATAAAGCCAACCTGAGTTAGATCCCTGGCACCCCATCTGGTCCCACAAGGTCATCAGGAGTAATTCCTAAGTGCGAGCCCAGAGGAACCCCTGAGCACGTTTGTTTGGGTGTGATCCCAAAACAAATAAAAAACCCCACAGTCACATAAAAACTTGTGTTTCATTCACGAATATAAGTTTCACTAACTTTCTTTTAAATTTACAACATTTTAGTTTCAGAAACTTCATTGTAATTTTAGGAAGCTTGGTGTACCAGCCATTTAGAATTTTTAAACTGATTGATATTTCTTCTTTAGATGGTATTGGTTGGAGACGGGGCTCTTAGAAGACTTTAAGAATACCTCAAGAGAGAGAACAAAAGGGAATGCCCTGTGCTCGCGTCGGCAGCACATATACTAAAATTGGAACAATACAGAGAAGATTAGCATGGCCCCTGCGCAAGGATGACATGCAAATTCGTGAAGCATTCCATATTTTTAGAATGGCCGAGATTAGTACCAGGAATTTTACTCCATGACTTGTAGGCCAACCACACATACTAGGGGAAAAGGGAGCTCAAATAAAGAGGGGAACACCAAATAAAGATGTTGGGAGGATCCTCCCAGGATGGGAGAAGCATGCGGAAAGTAGACTATAGACCAAACATGATTGTCACCCATTGCCTCTTTTGCAAATCACAACACCCAATAAGAGAGAGAGAACAAAAGGGAATGCCCTGCCACAGAGGCAGGGTGGGATGGAGGGATGGGGGTTGGGAGGGATACTGGGATCCGTGGTGGTGGGAAATGGGCACCGATGGAGGGATGGGTATTTGATCATTGTATAATTGAAACCCAAGCACAAAAATGTGTAAATCTGCAACTGTATCTCATGATGTCTCACTATCAAAAAAATTTTTAATAAAAAAAAAAAGGGGGAATGCCCTGCCACAGAGGCAGGGTGGGATGGGGGAGGGGGTGGGAGGGATACTGGGATCCATGGTGGTGGGAAATGGGCACTGGTGGAGGGATGGATATTTGATCATTGTATAACTGAAACCCAAGCACAAAAATTTGTAAGTCTACAACTCTACCTCATGGTGTCTCACTAATAAAAATTAAAAAAAAAAAGAATACCTCAAATTTCCAACAAAAAAAGGGTGCTAACTCAGCAATCTCTTGAAATATGATGTTTCATTATTTATACACATCTCACCCCAACTTTTTTCTCAGCAATATTTTTTTTCTCAGCAATCCCTTAAAGCTAGAAATGTCTCTCTTCCAGTCAATGGGCAGATTTATGTCCAGACAAGTACAAAGCACATCTTCCTCTTGAGCAAGTTGCCCTTTAAAACTAGGGGATTTCATGAGCTCAGGGTTCACCAATAGTGATTCAAATAAACTGCCCCCACAAGAAGTTCACCAAGCCTGAACTTCAAATGGAGCTGAGAGGCCTGCTGTGCCATGAGTAGCAAACTGTTTAATCTATTTAGGACTCCACTGGAGGGATGCGAGTGTATGGCGACTCAGCACAGCAGCTGCAGCCTCTCAAAGCCTGCATCACTGCTCTCTAAAGCAATTCCAGTGAAACCAAGTTAAGAATCCCCACTCTCTTGGTTGTCATGGTTGAGAGAGGGAGAGAGGACACAGTCCACATAACTGGTTGCCATGCTCGCAGGGGTTCTCTGCTTTTGGTCTCAGGGCTTGCACAGGCCTGGTTGTGCTACATTGGGAATTCCACAAAAGACTACACACATTTTGGCTACTGCATGGGCACCACACTAGCAAGAGCACCACACTCACCACGAGTACCCCACTAAATTCAGGCAGTGTACTCAGTATGGACATCTCATTATCAAGAAAGTATATATGCGAGGGCCAGAGCAATAGTACAGCAAGTAGCATTATTCACAATAACCAGAATTTGGAAACAACCCGAGTGCCCAAGAACAGATGACTGGATAAAGAAACTATGGTACATCTACGGGATGGAATACTATGCAGCTGTTAGGAAGAATGAAGTCATGGCATTTTCTTATAAATTTATTGACATGGAGAGTATTAAAATGAGTGAAATGAGTCAGAAGGAGAGGGACAGGTATAGAAGGATTGCATTCATTTGTGGGGTATAAAATATTAGACTAATATGCAAGGTGAGGGTAAACAGCGGAGAGGGGGACAGGTTTCCATGAGAGTGTATGGGGGTGAAGGGCACAGGTTAAGGGATATACCTGATAACCTTTCATTATCTGTATTGCAAACCACGAGTGGGGTGGAGGGAGAGAAGAGAGAGAGAGAGAGAGAGAAGTGATTGCCATAGTGACATGTGATGGGGATGGGGCGGAAGGACAACTGGGACCACGGGTGGTGGGAAATGTACACTGGTGAAGGGACAGGTGTTGGAACATGATATGACTGAAATCCAGTCATGAACAACTTTGTAAATGCGTGTATCACTGTGATTCCATTTAAAAAAAATAAATGGTACAAAAAATGGTACCAAAAAATAGTACAACAAGTTTGACTCACAGGCTCCCCAAATTTGCCTGGAGTAAGCCCTAAATAAAGCTGGATGAGGACCTAAAACAAAAGTATATGCCTCACAAGTATGAGGCCCCAGGTTCAACAAAAGAATTAAGTGCAGGGGAAAGGGAGTAGCTCAGTGGGAGAGCATTTGCTCTGAAGGTGTGAGGCCCTGGGTTAGACCCCAGCCATGGGATTGGGGGAGAGGGAGGAGGGTGGAAGAGAATACTTATGTATCATATATCTGATAATGATTTAGTATCAAAATTCACATGAAAGCATTGAATGACAAAAATAAACCCAATTTTTCGGATAGGCAAATTATCTGAATAGACATTTCTCCAAAGAGAACAAACTGCTAATAAAGCACATGAAAACCCAACATCGTCATGAGGTAACTTTATCAGAGTCAGAAAAATAAACCTGTTGGAATCTTTATATACTGCTTAAGAAAACACAGAAGAGCACAGCTTCTTTGTAAAGCAGCATGGGAATTCCTCAAATCATGTATAGACACTGAATGGCCCATGGATTCCACTACTATATATGCAACCAAGATTATCAAAAACATCTCCACATAAAACTCTGTAAACCAATTCATAATACCTAAAAAGTGGAATCAATCTAAATTCAATCAACTGATGCATAGAGAAGCAAAAAGTGATAATTTATTCAATGTAGTATTAATCATAAAAAAATGAAGTGCTAATATGTACTAACAGGATGTACCTGTTAATGGATGTGAGGCTTCTTTTTTGAAATGATGAAAATGTTCCAGGAACTAGATAATGATGATAGTTGTACCAACCTAATGATAATAAGTAACTGGTTTTTAATTGAGTGCTTTTAGGTGAATTTGAATAATAAATCCCCATCAGATGCATGATACATAAATAACACATACAAAATGATGAGTTTTATTTGGATTTTTATAAATTAGTTGGGAGGTTGGGGGAGAATGGTGCCAGGGACTGATTCCAGGGCTTCATCGATGTGATGCTTGCACTCTACCACTGAACTCGAACTCTAGTCAAAAGGGCAACTTTTGGGGAATGACTGGGGGAAGGGAAATGGGTCACATCCAGCAGTTATCAAGGATCACTCCTTGGCAGGCTTGGGGAATCATATGAGGTCCCAGGGATCACTGAGTTGGCTATATGAATGGCAAGCCCCAGACCCTTAAAAGGGTAAGTTTTATAGTATGTAAAATGTATGTCAATTGGTGTAGGGTAGTGGACACTGGTGAAGGGATTGGTGTTGGAACAAAGTACTCCTGAAACCCAATCATAAATATCTTTGTAACTTGGTAATTCATAATAATTCAATAAAAATTAATTTAAAATATGTTAAGTTTTGAATGTATGTTTTAAAAATTATAATAGTGGTTTTGGTACCCCAGGAAATGTTATATAACATTTATAGTTCCATAGTCACATAAAAGAATATTGTCCTTCTATTCAGAGGCATAACAGAATATTAAAAGTAAACCATTGGGGCTAGAGTGAAAGTATAACGGATAGGGTGTTTGCTTTGCAAGTAGCTGACCTAGGTTCGATCCCCAGCACCCCATGTTGTCCCCTAAACCTTCCAAAAGTGATCCCTGAGAGCAGAGCCAGGAATAAGCCCCAAGCTATGCTGGGTATGGCCCCCAAATAAAAATAAATTAAAAGTAAATCATTAATAGCATCAAACCTCAGAATAAATTAAAGAAAGGCACTTTTAAAACTGTTTATCTTACACTAATCTTACCAATTTTCAAATCATCAGCCAGACTTTCTTTTGTAAGAGTCAGCAGTTCTTTTCCATCAATATTATTTATTTTGAAAATATCTACGAGTTCTTTTAAACCTTGAGCAGAAAGCCACGTTGAGACATCATCTTCTGACCAATTTTCAGTAAACAGCTTAGGTTGATATTCTGTGCTTCTTGCTTAATAAACAAAAGAAGAGGCTAATTGAAATCACAGACAAAATGAAAATTATTCATAAACATTGTCATTTTAAATTACAAAGTAGATGAAATTTTCTTAAATCTGTGTGTTGCTTTTTTTTGCTAGCACAGCGGTAGGGCGTTTGCCTTGCACGCAGCCAACATGGCCGACCCGAGTTCGATTCCTCCGCCCCTCTCGGAGAGCCCGGCAAGCTACTGAGAGTATTCGATATGCCAGACACAGTAACAACAAAGTCTCCAATGGAGACGTTACTGGGCCCACTCGAGCAAATCGATGAACAATGGGAGGACCGTGACCGTGACCCTGTGTTGCTTTAATTTTAGAAAATTTCAAAATACATAACACTGAAAACATTTGAAGAAATAACACTTTGTATAAAATATCTATTCTGACATGAAATACTGGTCTCCCAAAACTTTTTTTTCAGTCCTAAAAACAGTGTTTATTAGGTAAAATTCTTATCAGCAAAGGCATTCTATTTGCTCTACTATCTGCAAATTAACATTATTTCAGATAGCTATGCACATAAAAAATTTTGTGTAAACCTGCTTGAGACCAAAAATAAAACAAAAATTACCATTTCTACTTTATTTTCAGGTTACATTTATCTCAAAAGTTATATGGGATATTGTCATTATTATATTATTAGCACTGTAGCACTGTTCTCCATTCACTGATTTGCTTGAGCGGGCACCAGTAACGTCTCCATTGAGAGACTTGTTACTGTTTTTGGCATATTTAACAAGCCACGGTAGCTTGCCAGGCTCTGCCAGGCAGGCAGGATACTCTTGGTAGCTTGCCAGGCTCTCCGAAAGGGACAGAGGAATTAAACCTGGGTCGACCGCGTGCAAGGCAAACACTATTATATTATTATTAAATAAGTGTATTAAATATTATTTGAATAATTATTTAATTATTAAATCCTAAAATCTATTATAAATATCACTGAAGTATAGGAGGTAGAATAGACATGAATGTGTACCCCAAAATATAATTTTAGTGTAAATCACCTTTAATGAATGTGAGACTTTAAAATTTTTTAATTATATTAAATTTGCATTTTGACTTAATACAGAGAAAAGCAATATTAGTACTTTATAAAAACATTCCTGGAGGGCTAGAGAGATATTATAGGGTATAAGATCCTTGTCTTGCATGCAGTGCCTCCCATTTATCCCTGGTACCAGTGGTCCTCCAAGTGCCTCCAGGGAGTAGCCCTGGTGATCTCCACACACTACTGAGAATGATGAAAAAATATATATATAAAATTACTGAATTTCTAAATTTAATGATAAAATAAATTTAACTGGACTAAATCTATTAACTTTACTAACCTTGGGCAAGTGTTCCTGGGTCAAACTGCCAGATGTTCACTGTTTTGTCCATTGAACCAGTAGCAAGTAAGAGGCTATTTGGTGCAAATGCACAAGTTGTGACATACCTGGATAATAAAAACATCTTATATGTATTTATTCTTGTACTAATTTTGAACTGAATTAATAATAAGAGAGATTAAGTTCAAACCTGGTGTGCTGAGTCAACAAGTGAAGTATATTCTCAGTATTCTGAAAACAACAACAACAGCTGTGTCTTAATTAAGGCAAGAAAAAAAGGCTACTAATAAAGATTCCTTTGACACAACTGTTTATATGCTATGTATTTTAAAATTATCAGTCACGAATATAAGTTGAAGCATTACTCAATAGAGAATAGCAATTTTAATATTATTTGGTTTTTTATTTTACATTTCTAAATCATCAACATTGTACACTGACAATTTTCTTGAAATTTTCAGTTTATTGAACTCCTGACTTTTGCTAATTTATTTCAATTCAATAACCTACATGTCTATTACATTGGCGATGGTATTTGAATCATACACATTGTGAGACCAATGAGCAGAAATTAATCACTTTTAAATACACTAAACTGGCCATTCACACATCTAAATGTATTTAAATGTATTTAACATTATTTTATGGAGAAAATATAATGTTGTGTTTACAAGTATTTACACTAGCACGCAACAGGGACAAATGGAGACGTTACTGGCGCCCGCTCGAGCAAATCGACGACTAACGGGAAGTTAAGTGATTTAAGTGATTACAAGTATAAAATACCATAAAAATTTTACTATGATTTCACTTAAGAGTATTCTTTCCTGTTACATGTCAGAACTTGCAATGATTAGTGAGGGAATAGTTTACCCTTCTTGCACGTACTATACGTTGATTTATATCTCATTTGATTTGATGAGATTACTGCAGCCTGAACTCAATCAATATAAGGCTGTATTCAACATAGATTTCTGTTGGAGACTATTTTCATCAACTACATTTTCAATTACATATATAAAGTGTTCCTTTTTCTTCATACTTGTGCAACTTTATTCACATGGCTCTGTCCAAAACTCCCATTTTTCCAAATCCATTATAATGCCTTCATCTTTATATTTGTCTCTAAACCAGCCATGACACTTTCAGCAATACCTTCCAAAAGCCCTGAAATAACTAAATCCTTTGATATTAAGATAGCCTATTATTAAACTTTAAGAATAGCTTAATGTAATAGTTTAGACTGAATATCCATGAGACTACAGCTTTTTTTTTTTTTAATCAGAGTAAACATGTGTCCATCTTAAAAATCAGTGAAATGTTTAAGGGCCTATCCCAGAATCAATATCCCACTTGCAGAACTATTTTAGCACTTCTAAAAATGTATGTTATGTTCTTGGGCACACACAGAAAAGTAGTATGTGTTTTGTCATACTGCCTAACTGAACTTGAGGTTCAGTAGTGTAATACGCTTACAATTTACATAGATCACACAGACAAACTTTTAAATACTTACAATATCATACACGATCACAGACTTATCAACTGACCTTTAAAAGAAAAAATGTATACTGTAGGTGAAATGTTCTACGAAAGCAAAGCCTAGTATTTATAAAATTAGTTGGGTTTTGTTATTGTTTGGGCCACACCCCACAGTGCTCCGGGCTTACTTTTGGCTCTGTGATCAGAGATCACTCCAGACAGGGCCCAAGGGACCTTCATGGTGCCAGAAATTGAACCTGGATTAACTGCTTGTAAAACAAACACCCTCTGAGCTTTACTATCTCCCTAGCCCTTGTTTATTTTTCTGTTTTGTTTTTTGGGTCATACCTCTGGGCTACTCCCATCTCTGTGCTCAGGGGTTATTCTTGGCAATGCTTAGGGGACCATACAGACCCTGTATCAATCCTTGCCTTCCAAATCCTTCCACATGCAAAGCACACAACTCACTGGAGTTCTCGCCAGTGCTGAAGTTAGTGTTTTCTAGTCATTTTAATATTACAATGAAGTATTTATTCATAAGTACAAACTTTTATTAAGAAAGGATAAATAACTAAATTTGAAAATTAACTTCATTAAACAGTTTACAAAAGAAATAAGGAAGAAATAATAAATGCTTGCCTATTATTTTCCTATTCAAGCTTAACAATCTTATTAGTCCTCATTTTATCCACATAATATATATAATTATAATCCTTTAATTATATACTATGTATTATCTGATATGAATAGTAAATAATGCTTAAAATGTACTATACATTCAGTATCATATATATTATATACTACATATAAACTTATATTTGTAAAATTTATAAAATGAAAATTTCCCTTGATTTCATAATTCAGAAAAGTAAAGCTGTCAGAAGATATGAAACTAGAGCTTGTTCAAGATCACACAGGTAGTGAGTGGCAGGACTGGGATGAAAACTTATGTAATCCTAAAACCTATATATTTAAATTTTACACTTCCTGAACAATCATCTGCTATTAGCATGTTAAACTTGATTTGTTTTGCGGTTGTACAGTGTTTTCCAGTTTTTTGTTTGTTTCGTTGTGAGGCCACATCCAGCTGTGCTCAGGGATCATTCCTGGTTTGGCCTGGGGTACCATGGGATGTCAGATATCAAACCCCCAATCAGCTGCATGCAAGGCAAGCGTCCTACCAGCTGTACTACCTATCATTCAGTTGTTCAGGCCCCAAGATTATGGGGGTTTACTGGGTTGGGTTGTTGTTGTTGTTGTTGTTGTTTTCTTTGGTTTGGTTTTTTGGGTTTGGGGTCACCCCTAGCTGTGGACAGGGCTTACTCCTAGCTCTGTGCTCAGAGATCATTCCTGGCATGCTAGGGGTTTAGATGTGGTGCTGGAAATCAAACCAGGCCTGGCCACATTATAGCAAGTGCCTTAGCCCCTGTACTCTCTCTCTCCAGCCTCTTTAGGCTGTTTTGTAATTTGCACATAACCTGACACTTAGCCTAAAACTTAAAAAGCAGATGACATGGTTGCTCAAACCTCACTAAAACTTTCATAAGGCATCTAATTTCATGCAATGTAATACTTAGGAACTGTTAAACAAATTGCAGCTGCACTTTGATGTTGCAAAATGGATGGACTTATTTAACAGGACTGTTCACAATATTGTAGAGAGTACAGGAAAATAAATAATATGAGGTATCAGAGAGGCAGCTCAAAGGACTGATACACATGATTTTCATGCTGGACCCCATTTGATTCCTAGTACCACACGGTCCCACAGGGTACAGCAGGAAACAGCCCCAGTATATGGAGCTAGAAGTAGTCCCAAGAACCACTGAATGATTCCCCTCCCCTTTAGAAAGAGCTAACAATAAGAAAACAGATGATGAGAGCTTTGGAGAAGTGTTTTTGTTTTACTTTTTGGAGCTTCACTCAGTGATGTTCAGGGAATCACTCCGCAGGAACTGAATGGCGGACATCTGCTCAAGTGCTTTTATCCCCTGTACTATCTCTTCAACCTAAACTATGTACCACTGGAAAGCTAATATTAATATTTATTGGGGGGGAGGGGTTTGGGCCACATTCACTAATGCTTAGAGTTTACTCCTGGCTATGCACTCAGGAATTACTCCTGGTGATGCTTGGGGGAAGATATGGAATCAAGCCTGAGTCAGTCATGTGCAAAGCAAGCTCCCTACCTGCAATATTATCACTCTAGTCCTGATATTAAGCTTTCTTATGACACTCACTGCTGAGCTAGAAAAAGCTGTTTCTTAAAAGCCACTCAAAATTGAGCGAAATTAAAATACATGGACAAATATACGATATGTATGAATTAAAGACTCAATATCATAAAAATGAAAGATGCCAAGTCTACCAACTTATCAGATTCAATATAATCCAAATAAAATTCAAACAGGTTTATGTATAAAGGAGTAAACTGGAGACAATTGAGCAATTAAATTATGAAATTCATGTGAGCATGTCTAATGCTAGAAGTCTCCAAAGATATTAAGTCTTAGAAAAACAACCGTATCAAAGTAAGGGCAATCAGAAAAACAGCAGGCTGAGAAACACATTCAGATATTGTCAGTAATTTCTAACAAGATATATATCAAAAGTGGTAGAAAAAATGATCTTTTTAATATGTAATGCTGGGACCACGAATATTCATATGGGAAAAGTGAAACTGTATTCCTATCACATATACCACAAATCAAATTTTAGGGAAAAATGATAAAGGCTCTAGGCTTTAGGAGATAACACAGGAAAATATATTCATGCCAGAGAACATAAAGAAACTGACAACAATGAAATTATAAACTGTGAAAAGGCAAATCAAAAAAACTTATGTAACAAACGACTAATAGGTAAGAAGAGCACATACACAACACACATACACACATGTATATAGATACACATATACATATACACGTGTATATGTATATACACATGTAACTTATGTAACAAACGACTAATAGGGAAGAAGAGCACATACACAACACACATACACACATGTATATAGATACACATATACATATACACGTGTATATGTATATACACGTGTATATGTATATAGATACACACACATATATATGTGTGTACACAAATATACATATATATAATAAAGATTAACCCAAAGGAAAATGACAAGAACCATGAACAGGTACTTAACTAAAGATGACATATATTTGGCCCATAATCTTCTATAATATTTAACTTAGTTGTTTCAAATAAATACAAAATAAAAATATAATACAGCATACTGATCAAAAATTCCTAAAATTTAAAAGATTCACAAAATCAAGTATAGAGATGATGCTTAAAAGCACTGTTAAATGAGCATTCAACCACTGGAAAATTTAGCATTACCTGCCAAAGCTGAAAATATAATAATTGTATAATAGCAATTTCATTTCTAATATATTCTAATATATGTAGAACATAAGCATGTATGAATAGGTGCATAAGAGATTCAGATATTTAAATAATTATTACAACACTTCTAAAGTATAAATACTTATATGCTGATTGAAATGGATATTATAGTATATACATGCAACAATGCAGTATTATTACACAGCAAGGAAAGTCAACAGTCAACAATTATTACAGTGATATTAATGCTACAAACATAATGTGGAGTAAAGGATGTCAGACACTAATTCACTAAGTGTGATTTGTTTTTAGTCAGTTTAAAAGAAAATAGGAATACTGCCTATGACCTGTGCTTCTGTCATCAGCAATGGGTACTTGGAAGAGGAGGATTTCTGCAACAGAATCAGCAAGTTTGTGTGTATGTGTGTGTGTGTGTGTGTGTGTGTGTGTGTGTGTGTGTGTGTGTGTGCTTTTTTTTTTTTAATAAAACCCGTGCAGTGATTATACAGGTTTATTACATCATAGTACATCACGATTTAGCAATCTGTTTATGGGCTGTGCACTTGCCTTTTTATCTATTTTATTTCATAGCAAAATGGTTTGAGGAAATTAAAACTCTTAAATAGCTTACCCCGAGACTAGCATCCGTCCATTATGAGAAAAAGCACATGACAGAACAGGAGCACAGTGCCCACTCAGTGTACTTTTATATTTTAATTCAAAACCTGCAAATAACAAGTTGAGAAAATTAACAAGTGAATCATATTTAATTTTGGTTAAACCATAAACAAAAATTTAATTTAATTTTTCGGGGGCTAGGGGTGGTTTTCTGGGGACTGAACCTAGGGTCTGACGTAGGCAAACATGAGCTCTACATCCCTGGCTGTAGAATTTTACTTGTTTTAGCGTCATATCTGGCTATGTGCAGAGCTTACTCTTGGCTTTGCACTCAGGGATCACTCTTGGCAGGCTCAGGGGACCACCTGGTATGCTAGGGATGGAACCCAGTTTGGCCGCATGCAAGGCAACTGTCCTGCTTACTGTAGTATTGCTCTGGCCCCAGAATTTTATTTTATTTTTATTATTTATTTATTTATTTAGGTCACACCTGACGATGCACAAGAGTTACTCCTGGCTCATGCACTCAGGAATTACTCCGGGGAGTGCTCAGGGGACCATATGGGATGCTGGGAATTGAACTGGGGTCAGCCGTGTGCAAGGCAAACACCCTACCCACTGTGCTATCACTCCAGCCCCAGAATTTTATTTTTAAGTCCGTTATTTTACTAATTTACTTAAAGGAAATTAATTTGGGACACATTTAAAAATTCTTGTGTATCTCAAAATATTGAGTACAGTTAAGTGATTTTGAACATTCATTAGTAGGCAAATAAAATGGTGTGCTCAGCACAGTTTGGAGAGAGTAAAAAGGCAGAGGGCATAGGGTGCTCTAATTTATTAATGATGATTAATTTAGTAAAATTAAATAATATATCAATGGTAATTAAAAAATCATTTTTTAATTTTAAATAAGAAACTTAAACTATATCTTGTCATTGAATAAATATATGATAAATATATCTATATATGCACATACACATTTGAGCAGCTGGTAATACATATAGATACATAGATATATTTACTCTGTGTATACTTATAAAAATTTCCCAATGCCTAAAAAGAAGCAAGCACCTTTAGTTTTCTTAATCAGCTATTTTAAAAACTGGGGCTGGGATAGGTAAGGCCTTGCACATGGCCAACCCAGGTTTGCTCCCCAGTATCCCATATGGTCCCCTGAGCCTGACAGGAGTGCTTCTTCAGCACAGAGCCAGGACTAAGCCTTGTGCACTACAGCCACCAGGTGTGAGAAATTAGAAATTAATTAGAAATGCAAATTAAAACTATAATATCATACTGATCAAAAATGCCTATAATTTAAAAGACTCACAAAATCAAGTATAGGAATGATGCTTAAAAGCAAGCAGTGTCTGGGAGTATGATGCCGCCCAGCAGGTCAACCTGTACCTGCACGATGAGTGCATCAGCAGCCTAATAGTAACTTCAGGCTTCCTGATACCCCAAAATTGCCACTGTGCCTCTGGCCAAATCACAACAATTTGGGACCAAGTTTCCTGAGATATTAAATGACCAAAAGTTAGGTATGTGAGAGTCACGCCCACAAATCACCTCTGGCTCAGCTATAGAAGCTCATTTATTGGCCGTGCTTCAGAGACCCAGAAATAGATCTCAAAAGAGATAAAAATCAGGCCATTTTAACACATTAATGGCCATATTCAAAAACTCACAAATGAATCTCGGAAGAGAGCAGCACACCACAGAGATGGCTCCCCACCCCAAGCCAGGCTGACTGGGGCACCTTGGAGGGGGGTGGGGGCAGGTGTGTCCCTCTGCCTGCCCCAAATGAACCCTGGCAGCTGCAAACCTCCAGAACCCAATCGCTGTCATGCTCATGGCCAACCTTCACAGGTTCATCCTAAGCCCCCCATGCATGAAAATGAATCTGCTGAAAAACCCAGGTATGCGGGACTAGTGACTGAAAACTCCAGGCTCAAGGAATCAGGGATGAGCAACCTCCCCCCATCTCCCTACTCTTCCAGTTCCCTGGCAGTCAGGCCCAAGAACTGCCTCTGGGCACCATTCAAGCGCGTTAACAGCCACAATTTAAAGACTCACAAATGAGTCTTGGAAGAAAGCAGCATTCCACAAAGATGCCTTTAGACCCCAAATAATTAAAAATTTTAGGATTCCAGGAGCATATGGGTGCTTTTGCTGCCACACGACATTTCTTACTATTCATAACAAGCAATACAAAATAAATTATTTAGCATCTGTCTATGGGGCAGGCTTGGGTGGTGGTCGGAAAATTCAAAATAATGGTGATGGGAAAGTGTATTGGTGGTGGGACTGGTGTTTAAATATTGAATGTAAACAATTATTGTGAACAACTTTATGAAAATAAAATTTTAAATTATACGTAAAAAAGAAAATAAATCAGAAAAGTCCAATCAGTGATTACAATATGATTTTGACCTATGTAAATAAGAAAATTAAAACTACTTAACACAGTAAAAATAAGGCAGGTAGGGCCAAAAAGCAAATAATTACTAAAGGTAACTTCTATATCTAGTACTCAAAATGTAACAAAGTTGAAATCTAATTAGCTGTAAATTAGGACCAGAGCAATAGCACAGCAGGTAAAGAGCCTGCCTTGCATGTGGCTAACCCAGGTTTGATCCCCAGCACTCTGAGCACCATCAGAAGTAATTCCTGAGTATAAGGCCAGGAGTACTCCCTGAGCACTTCCAGATATGCACCCCACCCACCCTTGTCACAAAAAAGACGACAAAAAAAAGTTAAAGGCCAGCTGTACTCAGGGCCCACTTCTGGCTCTGTGTTCAGGGATCACTCATGACATGCCTGGGGGATTGTATGTGGTACTGGGGATTGACCTGGGGTTAGTCACAAGCAGAGCATCCCCTTAACCCCTATACTACTTCTCTGGCTCACATAAATTTTATTTTGGACAAAACTTAACATTTTATCCAAAGAGTTTTGAGAGGATCTTGCTTTCATAAAAGGCTACAAAAGATGACGTACTTTTAAAAAGGAAATAGATGGGATAAAAAAATTCAAAGGATAGCATTGGATGGAGATGCAGTAGGTAAGGTATTGACATTGCAAGTGCCGGCCTAGGTTCAATTCCGGCTCCCTGTATGGTCCCCTGAGCCTCCCAGGAGTAACCTCTGCTAAATGTTACAGTGAACCCTGAGCACTGGCCAGTGTGCTCGCCCCCTTTCCCCCACCACACACACACACACACACATAAATTCAAAAGCTGGAAAACAGAAAAACTAGTTTTTTCATATAGTAGGAAAAATGTAGAGACAATCAAGATGGAGGCCATTATGAAAAGAGAGAATAGTGGAGAACAAATTATTTTAGACTACTATGAAGCTATATTGTATCACACAATTAAGTGACACAAGTTTCCCAACTGAAGGGACACCTGAAGAAATCCAATTCCCCATGGAAAGATCTACACATCATCAGACACAATAATTACAGTGAATACATTTTAAAATGCAGTTGTATAGGGGACAGAAAGAGAATTTAGGGTAGGGTTGAGAGCTTGTACACAACCAACCCTGGTTTAATCCCAGGCACAAAGGCCCTTCGAGCAAAATTCGAGAGTCACCCCTAAGCATAGAGCCAGAAGTAGCCTCTGGGAATTACTGGATGTGACCCCCAAATCAAAACAACAATTAAATGAAAGAACATATGGTGGCATAAGTACACTTATAGAAAATAAAAGTCAACAGAATAATTTTAAAAGATAAACATAAAGTGATTGGTTACCCCTGAAAGCTGGAATTCGTGTGGCGAGGGTAAAATCAAAATCAACATTGAGCATCCAATTTTTAAATCATGCATACGTATTACTTTGAAAGCTCTTAAAACTTTTGGCAGTCGGGGATTTGGGGCCAGCAAACCTCTGGAGCTATTTCTGATCATGCTCATGGGTCACCCCGGAAACAGTATGGGAGCAAGAATCAAAACCAAGTCACCGGCATGCAAATCATGTCTTCCAGTCCACTGAGCTATTTCTCTGCCCACCCCCCAAAAAAATTGTTAAAAACTTTCCTTATGTCATCTCCAGCTAGAGGAACCCAGGTCACTACTGGGAATACTCAGCCTGGCAATGTGGGTCTCGTTTTTCTTTTTTTCTTTTTTTTCTTTTTTTAAGTAGGGTAGACGGCCCAATGCTGGTGGAAACTGCATCAAGCTCTGTGCTCTGAGGACCATGCAGTGCCAGAGATCACATGGAGATAGATCATAAGCAAGGCAGCATCTTAACCCCTATACTATCTCTTTAGCCAGTAAAAATTAACTTTTGGTTATTTTAAATATCAAAAATTCCTCAGGTAGGGGCTGAAGCAATAGCACAGTGGGTAGGGCGTTTGCCTTGCACGTGGCCAACCCGGGTTCGATTCCCAGAATCCCATATGGTCACCTGAGCACCGCCAGGAGTAATTCCTGAGTGCAGAGCCAGGAGTAACCCCTGTGCATTGCCAGGTGTGACCCAAAATGGGGAAAAAATAAATAAATAGTTTCTTAAAAAAAATTCCTCAGGTAAAAAAGATTAAAATAAAATATATGATCACAAATCACTTGAAGAAATTACAAGTTGACACCTACCTGAAGTATGGGTAAAAGAAACAACCCAAATTTTGATCTGGCAATCTTGACCACATGTTGCCAAACGAAAAAACTGAAGACCGTGTTCTCCATCTAAAAAATATAAATTTTTTAATCATTAAATACAAATACACAATAAAAATTAAACTATAAAAGGCCTAAAAACCTGTTTATTTATATTGATATCTGTAAATTCTATTCATTTAAATCAGAGATTCCCTAAATATGTGAGTTATGTGCTTTTTTTGTTGTTATTTTGGGTTCACACCTGGCAATGCTCAGAGATCATTCCTGGAAGTGCTCAGGGGACCAAACAGGATGCTGGAGATAGCACCCAGGTGGCTACCTACAAGGCAACTTACCTGCTGGATTATCTCTCCAGGTCCCAATATGTGCATTTTTAATATGGTTTGTCTTTTTGAAAACATACTTTTACTTACATCCAACAAATTAACCTCCATTCACTGAAATTTTTTCTAACTCCATGGAACACTTCATTGTAGGAAGAAAGTTTTTGTAGCAAAGTTCTGGCCAAAGTATATCCTCCTCAGAGAGATGTGGATAAGGATAAACAATTCAAGATTTAATCACTGTCTTTGTTTAGGGATCACACCCTTCCTCAAGAGTGGTAAGAAGCTACACCTGGCTCAATGCTCCAGGGAAGAAACCCAGATGCATACAAAGTATGCCCTCAGTCCCATACAGTGATCTTGCTGGCCCTCTTTAGGTTTTTTTTATTGTATTAATTTTACTGTAATTTTTTTTTTTTATTTATTGAATCACTGTGGGAAAGGTTACAAAGCTTTCAGGTTTATGTCTCAGTCATGTAAATATCAAACACATTTCCCTTTACCAATACTTATTTTTTACCATGAAGAACCCCAATAAAAGCCCACCCCCCACCCCTCCCCGTCCCTGTGAGGCAGATGAATTCTAGTTAACACTCTATCTGCTTTGATTAGATTCATTGTTTCAATAAAAGATTCACCACTATTATTTAGAGTTTACCCCCCACCCAAATCAGACATGCTGAAAAAGCATTGTGAAGTGATTTGCTTTCTACGGCTGGGTTCAAGAATTAAATGTTGGTTTTGGATTTCTGCTCTTTTATCTATTGACCCTGGAAGTATTTCTACTGAAAGTCAGATAGTTAAGAAATTGGTTTCTGTGTTCTGGAGTCCTGGCCGTGCTGGAGAGCTGCTCGCGGGGGGCAACCGGTGGCCTCGGTAGGGCGTGAAGGGCGGAGCGAAACGCCCCCCTTCCCATGAGGTTTTAGTCGCCCCCACACTCCCGGCTCATACCTGCTATCCACAAGGCTCCCATGTGGCCGCCATCTTTCTTTCCAGAGAGGAGAGGGCGAATGGGGCAACACCCTTTCCCCTCCGGCAGACTTGATGGCCTGGATCAATGCATAGTCCGTTCACTTTTCTGCTCCAAGCTGCTGGGTTCTGCATTAAGTCCTTGTGCTTCTGGGGCCGTGGCCGTGCTGGAGAGCCGCTCGCGGGGGGCAACTGGTGACCTCGGTAGGGCGTGAAGGACGGACCAGAACGCCCCCCTTCCCATGAGGTTTTAGTCGCCCCCACACCCCCGGCTCATACCTGCTGTCCACAAGGCTCCCATGTGGCCGCCATCTTTCTTTCCAGAGGGAGGAGGGTGGAAGGGAGCAACACCCTTTCCCCTCTGGGCAGAAATGATTGCCTGGATTAACGCATAGTCCTTTCACTTTTCTGCTCCAAGCTGCTGGGTTCTGCATTAGGTCATTGTGCTTCTGGGGCTGTGGCCGTGCTGGAGAGCCGCTCGTGGGGGCAACTGGTGGCCTCGGTAGGGCATGAAGGGCGGACCGGAACGCCCCCCTTCCCATGAGGTTTTAGTCGCCCCCACACTCCCGGCTCATACCTGCTGTCCACAAGGCTCCCATGTGGCCGCCATCTTTCTTTCCAGAGAGGAGAGGGCGAATGGGGCAACACCCTTTCCCCTCCGGCAGACTTGATGGCCTGGATCAATGCATAGTCCGTTCACTTTTCTGCTCCAAGCTTCTGGGTTCTGCATTAAGCCCTTGTGCTTCTGGGGCTGTGGCCGTGCTGGATACTGTAATTTTTATTATCATTTAGGTAGCTAAAATAGTGTTAATGTTTATGGTGCTTGCACGCAAAACCCCTACACTCCACTGCCATCAAAGTGCCCATGTCCCTCCACTATCCCTCTTTAGTCTAGTCAGGTCTTATCGGCCTCCCTTCTCTGCCCCCCACTGTTTGGTAATTGGTTTTGTATCCTAACACCCCAAGGTTTGTCTTTCAGTATGATCTATTCTCTAATTCCAATCTCTAGATTCCAGATGAGTGAGATCATCCTGTTTTCCTGGCAAAACACCGCACTCAAATCTTATTTGTTATTCTTTATGGAATGCTAGGCTTACCGTTATGCTATAGCTGTGAAAGCTACAGAAAGTTGACAAACAGCTATATTTAAATGCTGCAGAACAATGAACAGTATAACGTCAATGATTTAAAAAAAAGATATTTTACAGTTGAGGTTTGATGTTTGTTTTTAAATAAATGTCTATGTGAACGGCCAGTCACAAATTATAGGTATGTTTACCGATCATGCACATACAAATATATCCCTTTTCAATATATGCGCATTATAAAATGATATATATTTACTTGCACACATAGAACCCTCACCCTCAACATTTAGCCCATTTTCTGCTAATACTAATCAGTTTCATTTCAATTATTATTGCTGCCCAGTTTAACTACATGAATTTTATGCCAGTGCAACATTAAGCACTTTTTTTATAGGCTAGGTCTCTCTCCACATATTGATACTTGTAGAAAATACTGTTTTCATTGCTTCTGAGCTGTAAATCATTTGAAGTCAATTCAGTTAGAGAAATGGAAAATTAAGGAACTTGTAATATGCCTATGCTCGCATTTAATATATTATTTTTCTGGAAAAAATATTTAAATTATAATGTTAATCAAACTTTTCCTTCAGGAGCAAACAGGATTATTTTCCTCACTTAAACAAAACAACATGAAGGACAGCAATGTCAATTTCATATTTACAAATAGTAACAAATATCGAATTAAAACAAATAATATATTTTGTCTATAGAAAATACCATCATTCCCACAAATACCTGTGTCACTTTTAACGCACAGGTCAGTTTCAGAGGTTAAAACTAAATTCAACAGAGGTAGAACTACAGAAACTAAGAAAAGACATAGATTGGTATCATACTGAGAACTATAACTTTGAAATAAATGTTTTTGTTTTGGGGGTTCACATACAGCAGTGCTCAGGAGTCACTCCCAAAAGTATCCACGGGTACTCTATGTGGTGCCAAGGATCAAGCCAGGGTCAGCCACATGCAAGGCAAATGCTTTTACTCCAGCCCTGCTCTAAATTTTACAAGTGTGTGGTTGGTGGGGTTGGTGAGCTGTGGCACTTCGGATTAAATCCTGGTCTCTTGCATACAAGGAAAGTGCTCTGAGCCAAAACCCCATTCCTATCCCATAGGGATATAATTGCTTCACTATTTTAGCATCTCATTGAGAATTCTCTGCACCAGGCCCAATCAGTAGCAGACTCGTCTAAAGACAGGCAATATTTACCCTTTAGTTTACTCTAATATTAACTAAGGAAAAATGCTATTCTTATTAAAACCAATTTTCAGTTAACTTAAATTAAAAAGACCTAAATCTTCTTTTATTTATAAGAAAAAGATTCATTGAGAGTCTATAATGTTTAAAGCAGGTGCCACAGAAACTGTTCTTCTGTTAACAACTGGTCAGAATGGTACAACAAATATTAAATGAATAAATTATCAAGATGAGGTAAAGAATTTAGAATTATAATGGGTTCAGATTAAAATATATATATAGTAATTTTCTCCATGATGCTAAAAGTTAAAAAAAATTCAGCACTTCACTAAGAGTCAATTTACTAATCCGCATTTCAATGTCTATTGTGAAAATAAAAGACACCTGGTCCAATTCTGACTGACCTTATAATCTAATAAAAAATACACTATTAATGATAATTCATATAATTTAACATTGTGATATTTTTCTAAGTACTGTGAAAGAAAAAATAAAGGGCTAGAGAGAGTATATTGAGTAAGGCCCCATTGCCTTGCACATGGCCAACCGAGGTTTTAACTCCAATATGAGATCCCCTGAACACCAACCACCAGGAGTGATCCCTAGCCACAGAGCCAAGAGTAAGCCCTGAGCACAGCCAGGTGTAGCCCAAGAACAACAGGGGAAAAAGAGGTATTAACAACAAATGATTATATCAAAAGGCTTTATATGAAAGCAGGCAGTAAGAACGAACAAGAAGGGGCCACCTAAAGTAAATTTAACAGGATGATTAAGAGTGAACCAAGTGAGCCACTGTAGCATTGTTCTCCCGTTGTTCACCGATTTGCTCAATCAGGCACCAGTAACATCTCCATTGTGAGACTTGTTGTTACTGTTTTTGACATATCGAATATGGCACGGGGAGCTTGTAAAGCTCTGCTGTGTGGGCGGGATACTCTCGGTAGCTTGCCAGGTTCTCCGAGAGGGACAGAGGAATAGAACCCAGGTTGGCCAGGTGCAAAGCAAACACCCTGCCCGCTGTGCTATGGCTCCAGCCCAGTGAAGAGGAGCGATAGTGAAGAGTAAACCCTTGAAAAAATTAGTAATATATAAGCAATGAAAGATGGCAAGAGAATGCATGAGATCAAATGTGATATGAGGCAGGAAAACAGACCACGGAAGGTACTAATAGGCTATATATTTTGGATTTGGTATTTTCTCTTTATCTTACTTTAATCAGCCACTATTGGGTTTGAAACAGGACTGCCAAGCCATACCTGCCTAGCTGAGATGAGACATAATGTATACAGTGGATTTCAAAGTCTTAGAATTAATGGAAAGTGATATTTCCTAACTTTACGGAATACTAGTTATAAGATATTTTAGATAAACTGGGCAAAATAATTCGTCATTAGGATTAATTTCACCTATGACTAGAAAAATGTTAATTTACATTTGTAACTCACAGAATTGCACTGGTATGGTAACAAGACTGAACCAAGCTAAACTGAAACTTCTATCCTAGTATATAGTAAAGCTGGAGCGATAGCACAGTGGGTAGGGCGTCTGCCTTGCACGCAGCCAACATGGCCGACCCGAGTTCGATTACTCCGCCCCTCTCGGAGAGCCCGGCAAGCTACCGAGAGTATTCGATATGCCAGATACAGTAACAACAAAGTCTCCAATGGAGACGTTACTGGGCCTGCTCGAGCAAATCCTAGTATATAAAGTAAAATTATGAGGAAACTTCTATTTACAATTATCTATTTAAAACCGAGTCTCTATTTAGAAGCTTTTGGCTCTTCTTTTTCTGAACTCTAACTGCATTATAAAATATATTAAAATTTTGGTACTTCAAATATTAATGGTAAATGAAAAATGTAACCTCTACAAAATATTTCTTGAAAATCACAATTAAAAATTTTACATCAAGTACCAATATTCTGATTTAAAAATCACATAAAACCAATGGGGTAAAGTCCTCTAAATTACCATTTTTTAGGAATCCAGATCTACTGTGCCAAACTGAATCATCTCCTTCATATAAAAAAAAACCTAAAATCCCTCTTTTTTCATGACTGATTCTATTTTGATCAAAAAAGATAAAGGAGGATGATTCCTTAAAAGGAATGAATTAAAGGGGCTTCGTTTCACCAATGATGAAATGAAAATGAATGAAAGAGCTACAAGTCATATGCAAATTTCAAAAAGAAATTACTAGTGCTTAAAAGAGTGAAGTAACAAACCAGAAATAGGCTGTGAGGAAAAATCGCAGCAGGTAATTCCAAGATCATGGGCTTTTTCACTATGCAGACACCTCATTTTATCATCCCACACTGTTAAATCTCCGCATGAGGAGCCAGTGACAAAGAAGTTTCCATTAGGAGAAAATGTGCAGGCCACTAAGGAGCCATCCTTAACACTACCATATCTGAAATAAAAGCAAAAGAAAAAAAAAGAAAGTGGTTTTTATTTCAAAATATCTTTTATTTTACATTATTAACTCTAATAGCAGCTTGATATAGTAAAAAGGATTGAAAGCTATCACAGAACTAGAGAGAAAGGATGATGCCTACAGAAATAAATTCAATGTTGTTATAACTGTCTTTCTGAAGACTAAAGAAAATTTAAGCATTATTTTAACTAATATGCTCAAACCTAAATAACAGGCTTTGGAAAACAGTCCACATATTTTCATACTTTTCCATAAGACAAGCAACAATATTAACTACATTCAGAAGCAATTTTTAAAAAGTTACCGCTTTTAAGAAAATTTTTTTAAATTACTGGAGTCAAAAATACTTTCAATTTTTGTATTAAAATCATTCAGACACAGTATTAAGGTCTTTCACCTCATGTGAAATTATGAATTGTTTAGGAAAAGAAAATGCTGTGAAATGCTGTGAAGAAGCTTGTGAAGAATCATCTTGGATGGGGCCATGGACAGGCAGTAAGGCTTTTGCCTTGCATGTGACTGACCCAGATTTGATCCCTGCCACCCTGTATGGATGCCTGAGCCAGCCAGGAGTGATCCCTGCAAGCAGAGCCATGAGTGAGTCCTAAGCATAGCTAGGTGTGGCCCCAAACTCAAAAACAAATAATCTTGAGATGATAAAGAATTGTGCTGATATTTCCTTAATTAAGAAAAACAAGCAAATAAAAACTAACCATCGGGCTGGAGCAATAGCACAGCGGGTATGGCGTTTGCCTTGCACTTGGCCAACCTGGGTTTGATTCCCTGCATCCTGAGTGCAGAGCCAGGAATAACTACTGAGCATTGCCAGGTTTGACCCCAAAAGAAAAAAAAAAAAAACTAACCATCAGTGCATCAGTGTCCCAAACAGTGCTTTACCCTATTGCTGAGTATTATTTTACATCAATAATTTCATGATTAGTGAAGTAATGTCATAGAGGTAGAATTTATCAACTGATAAATGAAAAGAAAGATTTCTCAGCTGATAACTGCATTTCTCTTATATCAAATTCCATCCTGAGCTTTTTTCTTTTAAAAATGTTTATTAACATCACAAAACATATCACTTTCTTCCACCCAAAGATTGAAATGAGCAACAATTGCTTATCCTTGCTGAAATTAGTCTATTTTAATTAAATCATACATTTTTAAAAGTTACCAATTATAAAGTAATTAATATTGCTGAACTATATAGTCAAAATAGCAAATTTTATATCATATATATGTTACCACAACATAAACACATAAAAGTTCCTATTTTTAATAGTAAGTAGCAAAAGAGCCCTATCTGTACAAACTGAATCATGTATATTTCTTTAGAGAACTGTGGGATACTTTTTTAGAAATGATAATACATGCTATATTAATCACAGTGTTCTTTTTTCATGGTAGAATCCTTATCAGGAAATAGCTGGGCATCTCATCAACATCCTAATATTACTTTATTATTCAGAACTCCTGAGACACAAGTGACAAAAATAAAGCTAAATATTACTGAATCAGTAATATTAAAACTTTCATTTTGCTACAGATGAAGCCTTATTTCTAAAAACATTAGAACTTTAAAATGCTTGGGACCAAGAAAATCTGCTATAAGCATCACATTAAGCACTTATTTTTATGATCTTCAGAAAATATAGCAAAATATTTTTCCTCATAATGTCTGAAAAGTACCTGCTTTTTCATTCAAGTCATTAAAATATTCTGCTTTTTTGTGTATGTGGTCGACATGTTAACGGGATTAGAAAGAAATGGTTTAAGTATTCATACCTATGTAACTTATATGTCTGTGCATTCCACATAACAATGGTTCCATCCGCTGCGCCTGATACCAAACAAGTGGAGTCTGGGGAAAAGCGGCAAACTCTCACAGGGCTCCCACTGGGCTGTTCCATCACCGTCAATATCTGTCCGCTCTGAGTATTCCACAGGACAGTTGTACCATCTGTGGAGCATGAAGCCAAAACATGTCCTGAAGGGGAGAAACAGCAGCAGTGGACAGTGTAGGTGTGGAACAACAACGGAGAATATGGCAGTTCAGTGAAGTCACTTAGGGAGTACAGGCGAACTGTTTTGTCCAAGGAGCAAGTTGCCAGGAGGGAAAAAGAGAAAGCACAGCAGTTGACATCATCACGGTGATCGGCTATTGTATGAATTAATTTCACCATGTTGTCTGAAGTAAAATATCCTGCAATTTTTAAATAGAAAACGGTTACTTCATCCTAGGAATCACGTTAATGTAGCGCAAATCCATATAAATGGAGAGGAGCCAATCTTAATTGGCTAAAGGAAAGCTCCTCCATTCATATTTTAAAAGGATAATCTGATATAACTGAGATAAGGGAATGCTGAGAGAACTATGAAATTAACATCTGATGACATACCAATAAAGTTCTGTTACTACTTCAAGCAGAACCTTGTTGGGGCTGTACAGATAGTACAGTGGGTAAGGCTTACCCAGCTGACATGGGTTTGATCCCCCATACCCCACTAGAGTGATCCTTGAGCACAGAACCAGGAGAAAGCAATGAGCACTGTTATGTGTGGCCTAAAATTAAAACAGCCTTGTAAAAACAAATTCAAACTGATTTAACATTGAGCAAACAATACGTTAGGCTACTTGCCTTTGAAATCTTTCCCTGTAACTGCTTTCTCCTTCGTACTGCTAACTCTAGATTTGCTCATTTTAACTCAAAAAGACACTTCCACTGCTTTTAACACTCTCTCAGCTACTTCCTCCTTGCCTGCCTTTGTTGTGCCTTTAACCTAAAACTGTAGAGCTCACTCAGAAAAACAAAATATTTCATGCACAAACTGCAATGTCAAAAGCTATCATGTCATGGTTTGTCACCATATATGATCAATTAAGGAAACTCAAAAGAAAGAAGTGGTAAAAATGGACTAACCCAGGTTGCATTAACAAATTATTTAGATATCTGACTGCTGGAGCCATAGCACAGCGGGTAGGGCATTTGTCTTGCATGTGGCCAACACAGCCAACCCGAGTTCAATTCCTCCGCCCCTCTGAGAGAGCCCAGCAAGCTACCAAGAGTATCTCGCCCCACGGCAAAGTCTGGCAAGCTACCTGTGACGTATTAGATATACCAAACGCAGTAAAAAGTCTCACAATGTTACTGGGCCCGCTCGAGCAAATCGATGAACAACGGGAGGACAGTAACAGTGACTGCTGATGCAATCTATAAGGCTATAATTTTCAGACTTCCCAGATTAGAAGCCTGAGGGGGCGTGGTCACCCAAGCAGCACCCATCATATCCCGTAAGAACCACAAATTAGCCTCTTCGGAACTCACTAGGGCAGCTCAAACTCCCAAACAGATTAGGCCAATAGTCCAGTAGCCCCTATACCAATCTATATTCTTTTCAAAACACAAAAGCAACTTTGAGCAGAAGAATACAAACTGCAAAGGTCACACAGTAAAGCAACACAGAACCCCATCAGGCTTAGTGAGTGAAGAAGCTAGCCCAGGGGACCCAATGAGTAATAATGAGTTATATAAGCTCTCTGATAAGGAATTTAGAATGGAACTGGTAAGGATGCATAAGGATCTCAAAGAAACAATGGACTGCACTGTCAATAAAATACGGGAGGATATGAGAGCAGAAATGAGGAAAATGCAAATGAAAATACAAGAAATGAAAGATCTGATAAACCTGGTAGGTGAAATGAAACTCACTGGAAGGCCTCAGCAGCAGAGTAGCAGCTGCTGAGGACAGAATCAGTGAGCACCAAAATGAGGTGCAGAGAATCACTGGACTACAGCAGAAGACAGAAAAGACCTCCCAAAATAAACTAGCAGATGACAAGAGAAAATCTGATGAAGTCAAGAGGAACGATATAAGAATCATTGGAGTACCAGAGGGGCAGGAAGAAAACCCTGATGAAGCAACCATCAAAGCTATCATTGCTGAGAAGTTCCCATAGCTGAACAAATTATTTAATTTAGACTAAAACCCAAACTCCTCACCACAGTTTACAGAAACCCTATTTGATCTAGCTCTTGCCCCCTTCACCCCAGCCTGGCTGGTTAAACTGATTTTGGACTAAGATCTTCCTAAATTGGGTTTTGGTTGGCTGGTTTGGGGGCCACACCTGGCAGTGCTCAGGAGTTATTCCTGGCTCTGCAGTCAGAATCACTTCTGGCAGGCTGGGGAGACCATATGGGATGCACAGGATTGAACCCTAGTAGGTCTCCAAGGCAAACACCCTATCCACTACACTATCTCTGCAGCCCCGTAAGTTGGTATTGTTATGATGATATTCTTTCCCCTCGCTCCTGGGATCCTATTTCTCACTAAGTTCTCAATTTCGGTATTCCTCAGCAATGTTTTCTCTATCTAAAGTAGCCACTCTCTAGGTGAAACCATCACCCTATTTTGAATTTTCAGTAATTATCAACATCTAATGTATTTCTCTCCCCGATCCCGTACTACATATGAGCTTCAAATGACTCTTGTCCAGTTTACTCATTTCTATAACCACAGTATGTAAAATAATGTCAAGTACCCAGAATACTCAAAATAATTTTTTTAAAACTACAACTAAATTTAAATCTTTTAATACAAGAACATAGGGTGGGAGGGTGGCTTGGCGATGAGGGTGCAAGCATTTGTGTACAACAAAAACACTGACACTATTATAATCATGTTATCTATCCTACGCTAAAAAGTTTTAAGTAGAAAAGTGGGAATATTTCAAAGTTAATATATGAACATAACAGAAAAGAATTTAGAAGTTTAAGAACACAGCTTTGGAGGAGGCAGTGATCAGTCCTGAGTGGACAGGTATAACCTGGGATACTAAACCCCAGAACCCCTTGCTCTAATGCTAGAGAACTTCCTGCAAAAAAAATCAAAATCAGAGCACGTTTTTGCCCAATTTCACCAGATCCCGCACATTCAATTTCGTTGCTTCTTCATCACCCCACTCCTGCTCACCTTCTCAAAAGAAAAACTTCCACGAAGCCTAAAAACACCTGCAAAATCTCTTGGTAAAATGATAGCCTGCATAAATGTACCGAAAACAAGCCTGACAGATCAAATGGTGTTTACTGGCTAACGCCCCAATGCCACCTGTGCCAAAAAAGCACAGGGATAAGGTTCCAAACACGCCCGGGCTGCCTCCCTCGGTGGTACTCGGCTACGACGCCCAGGGCAGACGGGACGGGCTGCAGCACTGGGCACCCTGTATGCCTCCGGCGCCCACCCAGACCTCAGCTGCCACTCGGGATGTTAGATCTCTCGGGTGGTCCAGAGCAAGCCCCACCGAGGTCCAGCACGCTCCCCCCCGCTCCAATAATACCCAGAACTTACTCCCCGCCTCCCCGCACGCAGCGAAGGACCAGCCACGCCTCGAGCGCCCGGCCGGCCCAAGCGCGCGAGCCAGGCTGCGGATGCCCGGGCGCTCCCCCCGCGAGCGGCCGCCGAGAAGCGGGGCCTTCCGGGTCGCGGGGACGGGCACGCCCGCCGAGTGCCCCGCAGTCGCCGCTCGCCCGTCTCTCCTGGGCCCGGCCCCCTCCGACGCCCCGACGGGCGTACTCGGAACCAGCTTCCGAAATACCCGAGCCGACCCGGCCCGAGCGGCCCCCACCGCTCACTGCAGACTCTAAACTGGCCCGCGGGCGCCGCCCATTGCACCGCAAGGAGCCCCCTGGGGACTCTCGGGTTCCTCCCGCCCACGTCGGGCTAGCGGCGCGGGTCACCTGGTGTGCAGGTGCGGCGGGCGGGGCTGGACCCGGGGAACCGGGAAACGGCGAAAGAGGCCCCGCCCCTCCGGGGGTGGGGTGGGGTGAGGCAGCTCCCCGGCGCATGCGCGCCTTTCGTCCTTCTGAGCCCAAGTGTGCAGGCTAATCTAAAATTGAAGATTGAGTTTAGTCTTTGGAATATTTTGCGATTTTTTTCTTTCCTCTATTGAGGAGTCTAAGGTCCTAAAGTCGTGAGAATGCTTAAAATGGGCTGTTGTTGTTTAGGATTTTTTTTTTTTCTCAATGGGGGTACACCTGTTGGTGCTCAGGGTTTACTACCTGGCTCTGCGCTCTGGGGTCACTGTTGGTGGTGTTGGAGGAACTGTATGTTATGCCAGGGATGGAACTCGGGTAGGCTGCATGGCAAGGCAAGCATCTTACCTGCGCTGTACAATCTGTTGTCCTTGAAATTGGGGTGGGGGTGGAGGCAGGAAGCTGGGGGAGGTGTTGGAGGATACACACCCAGCAATGCTCAGGGGTTACTCCTAGCACTGCACTTAGGCATTACTTTGGTGGTGCTGGTGGACCATGTGAGATATCAGGGATCCAACCTTGATGGGCCATGTGCAAGGCAAGCACCCTACTCTCTTTGTTACCACTCTTGCCCTGAGATGTGGTTTTTGAAGTGCATTTTATCAACTGTCTAATTATTCTTAAATTTTTTTTAATATTGGGGCCAGAGGGATAGTTAAAGTGCTTGCATCAAACAGGTCCCAGGTTCAATCTCTGACACCATATATGGTCCCCTGAGCACAAAACCAGTTGTAAATTCTAAGCACCACTGAATATGGTCTAAACTCCACCCCTTCAATTTTATTTCAAATAAAGTTTTTGAATACTTTTCCTTGTGACTATTTCTCTACCATGAACTGCCTGTTTTCCTTTGACAGTCCTCCCCCCCAACCCCCCCCCCCCCCCTCTTTCCTGTTGCCTAGCTCTGCCATTAGCATTAGCAGCTCAAGTTTCAGTGTCTTCTACCATAGACTTTGGCAGAAAGAGATCTTGAAGCCATTCACCCCTGGTGTAAATTCAGATGTGCTTCCAGTTCAGGTGCACAATAAGCTTTAACTGAACACCAAGTGGTTTTCTTTCAGCTTTTTAGAGTTTATCTCCCTCAGCTTTTTAGAATTTATCTCTCAGGCCCATGGATAGACTGACATGAATCGATTACAGAGTGGCCCAGTCCCTATAAGAAGTAAAGGCTGATAAGAAAAAATGTTACTAGGCTTAATGTTAACTAAATTTATGACATAGTATAGGATATTTCAAATGAAAATCAAAGAGAGTTAACTTTTGTTCTCGATCCATCCGTCTCTGATTATTTTTAGTTCAAATTTAGAATTTTCTTTAATGAGAAACATTAAACAACTGCTGAAGGGAGGAAGCCAAAGTCATGTGTTTGAAGAACAAAGCCCTTGAATGCTCAAATTTAAACATGAAAAGGAGACCACGGAAAATGAATTGTAATGAAGATGAAAGAAAAAGCAATGGTCAGAATTCATGATTTTGAGATATTCCCATGACGTTTTAATCAGCACTCATTTCCATATTCCTCATAGACTTGGGTAACATAGATGTGTTGCTGCTGGGGTGCAGCAGTGCTGGGGGCCTCCAAGGATACATGTGGTGTTGTTTAGGGAGCAGGGTAGGAAGAGCTGCACATGGAGGACATATGCCCCTGACCCTTGAGTCATCATCCAGGTTTATCTTCACAAATTTGATGAGGAAAAAATAGTTATACTGTTCTTTAAGTGAAATATATAAAACAACTCCTGCCTATATTTTGCTATTAGTTTAGCGTAGTGAACCAAAGACCAAATTGGTCAGTTTTGTCCTGCAGAGAAAGGCAATTTCAGGGATGGAAGTTCTATGTAGCTGATCTTCAGTCTATGAGTTTGGCATTTGAGAGATATTAACATATATTGTTAATATACTAGAGACACATTATAATAATTTATGAATATTTAGGGCTGGAGCAATAGCACAGTGGGTAGGGCGTTTGCCTTGCACGCAGCTGACCTGGCCAACCCAGCCAACCCAGGTTCGATTCATCCGCCCCTCTCGGGGAGCCTGGCAAGCTACCGAGAGTATCTCACCCGCACGGCAAAGCCTGGAAAGCTACCCATGATGTATTCAATATGCCAAACACAGTAACAAGTGTCACAACGGAGACGTTACTGGGCCCACTCGAGCAAATTTATGAACAACGGGAGGACAGTGACAGTAATGAACATTTAATTACATAAGTAAAAATATTCATTTACCTCACAGGTCAAGGTGTCAAAATTGCTGAAACTCGAATATTAAAGATTTGACTATTTCATGTATTCTTTGCTTTACTTTGGTAACTCTGGTCAGTAATGAACCCTATTATTTTTTCATTAATTTCTAGTTCTGTTCCTTGGAAGCTACTTGAAGAATAGGAAAATCTATTTTAAATATCCTTAAATTAAAACTAATTATTCAGATAGTATGTGAAACTTGTCCTTAAGACATGATCATCATGAAAATAGATTTAAGTGTAAATCAATTAATGCACCATATACTAAAATATATGGTTATCAGAAGCCAGAGCTCCGAAAGACATGATGGGTGCTGGAATAATTAGAGAAGATAGTTGAAGGAATGGAACTTAAATAGGTCTGAATCAAGGGCAAACTAAGGAATCACTGTCACTTGTCACTGTCCTCCTGTTGTTCATCGATTTGTTCTAGCGGGCCCAGTAACATTGTGAGACTTATTGTTACTGCGTTTGGCATATCGAATACATCATGGGGAGCTTGCCAGGCTTCGTCGTGTGGGCAAGATACTCTGTAGCTTGCCGGGCTCTCCAAGAGGGAAGGAGGAATCGAAAGCGGAGGAATCGAACCCGGTGGGCTGCATGCAAGGCAAACACCCTACGTGCTGTGCTATCATTCCAGCCCAAACTAAGGAATGGGAACTGGAAAATACCCATTTCACAGGAAGTATGCAGGAAGGTAGTTTTGTTTTGCAGGCAAAGCCAACACCTAAATTTCCAAAGCAGTCACACATGATAAAGTATAAAATATTGGGCCAGAGATATAGAAAAGGAAGTAAGACTTCCCTTGCACATGGCTAACCCTGGTTCAATCCCCAGCCCCTCATAGGGTCCTTTGAGCACTGCCAGGATCACTCTGGAGCACAGAGTAAATAATAGTCCCCAAGCACTTCTGGGTGGCCTCCCCCCACTGCCAAAAAGCACAAAATACGTAATCTTGATAAATATGTATTCAATATTTCATTTATAAAATACTTCAAAAAACAGTTGATAGCTATGAGAATGGCCCAGAAATTATCTAGCACCTCACCTGGTATCCACAACGCCACCTGCTGGCAGAGAATACTGGGACTCTGAGGAACTGTCAAGAGATGTTCTGAACAGATCTGTAATCTATTGTACGGTGAAGATGTCATATTGCTTTTCTTGACTTTTAATCATTTTGTATTATCTCCTTGTGTGCACAGGAGGGTTTTTTTGTGGGGAAGGGTTCATGCCATATGGGCAGGGGCTCAGGGGCTATTCTGACAGTGCTCAAGAGGACCATGTTTTCTCAGCAATAGAACCAATATTGAATTCATTGCAAGGCAAGCACCTTAATTCCTGTACTATCTCTCTAACCCAGCAGTTTTCTATTGAATGTAGGACTTACAACATGAGCAAATATAATTTGGACATATGAAATTAGTAAGGATAAGGTAAGAATTAACTGTTTTTTCCTTTTGCAGACACGTAGCACCAACAACAATAAATCTTGAATGCAGTCTCAGAAGTTGAAATGAATTTCAGATGGATTCGGTGAATTCCCTGTAACAACTGGTCTATTCTGATTCATATTCACATGTACAGGGCAGACTTTCAAAATTCAAGTAAAAAATGAAGCATTTGTTTTCTTCTGAATCATCCAAACTTCTTTAAATTTCCATTATCCATTTCCATTAAATAAGATTTATACCCTCTGTATGTCTCTCCATCAAATCAATTATGATCAACTGGTCCAACCAAATCACAGTAGTAGAGCAGAATTCTTTGGGATGATGTTATATATAGATAACGGAAGATCCAGAGGCTGACAACCAGAGAAGACAGTATGACTTAGCCCAGTGGAAACTGCCTAATAAGAAAAGTGAATTAATGGATAAAATTGAGAAAACCAGAAAGAGAATAGTACAGCAAGAATATAGTGTAAAGCATCTATCTTGCACATTTCTGATCCGGGTTTGATCCCTGTCACCACATATGGTTCCACAAGAACCACCAGGAATGATCCCTGAGCTCAGAGCTTGGAGTAAGTCCTGGGCACCTCTAATTGTGGTCCCAAAACAAGCAATATAGAAACCCTACCAGAAAGAAATGTAATAGCCTGTGTGGCACTTGGAATTGGGCATATAAAGAAATTTTACAGTTCCTTTCTTTTCTCTTTGGCACAATTAAGTATTTTTGTTTATAGATTTCTTAGATTACAACTTCCTAAAAACATTTTTCTTTTGCTGCATTTTCTCATTTTTTTTGGTTTTTAGTTATCTTCACACGCTCGCTATCTATCTGAATGTAAGGTTCCATCCCAATGGAAAACCAGCAGGACTGTACTACTATACAAGAAGGGAGACATCCACGACATTGTCTGTCATCTATAAGCTGTTCACTCGAGTCATCCTGAATAGGATTCTTCATTGGCAGAACACTAGATGAAGGATAACCATGTGAGCAAGCCAGGTTCTGAAAAGGATTCAGCACCATCGACCATATCCACACGATTACTAAACTCATCGAGGTTTCTCGGGAGTTCAAGATGCTGCTCTGTCTAACATTCATTGATTTAAAGAAGGCCTTTGATTCTGTTGAGACAGAAGCGGTCATCGAAGCCCTAGGCAATCAGGGCATTCAAACTCAATACATCAGGATCCTCCGTGAGCTGTATTACGGATTCACTACCAGGATCTCACCATTCTAAAAAGAAGTAATCATCCATGTCAAGAGAGGGGTTCGGCAGGGTGA